AAGGATGAGTAGAAGTTGTCAAGGGACAGAGAATGACATTGCAAAGGGGGGAAATAACATGAGCAAAGACATGGAGAGGAAAACGTAAGGTCTATTTACACAACGGGGAAGATATGTTGGATTTAGTGAAGAACCTGTGTAGAGAGACGTCAGTAGAGAGAGATCAGTGAAGGTCAGATGATGGAGGGCTTCGAATGCCAGGGTAAAGCTTTTGCACATTATCCTGCAGAAAATGGGAAGCTTTGAAAGATTCTGAGGAGGGAAGTAACCGAATGAAAGCAGTATTTTAAGATTAATTCATTATGTTCATGAATTATTTATTTCATGGATTCTTCCCGGCCAAGTCTGAGTCTCTCCCTCCCAACGAATTCACACCAGTCCTTCCTCTGCTCAAAAGCCTTCCATGACTTCCCATTGCCTCTAGAATTAAGTCACAACTCTTTCAAACAGCATTCAGGCTTCTCCATCACTTGGTTCCAATGACCTTCTCCTCCCCTTTAGCATCCTAAACTCTGGTCAAGCTGAACTGCTACGTATTCCCAAACATGCCCCATCATTCCCCTATTTCTGTGTCTCTTCACCCTGGTTCCAAAACATTCTGTAACGAGCAACAGCCTAGCACGTAGAGTTATGAAACACGAGAGCCGAGTTTGAATTCTGGTTCTGCCTTCCTTTACTCCAGTCTCTGATGATTGGTTCCTTCCTGCTTCCTACAATTATACTCAAGTCTCCCCATCCTTAAAAAAAACCCTCATTTGACCCCACTCCCCCTGCTAGCCACCAGCCTGTATTTCTCTGTCCTCATTCTTCATGACTCCTGCAGCATTTGGCACTGTTGACCATCCCTCTCCTTCTGTATCCTGTCTCCTTGCTAAATTTTATTTTCATCGCCCTCTCCTGGTTTTCCTCCTACCTATCTGACCATTATCCATTCCCAGCCTACTGATGGTGGGTATACCCCAAAGTACTTCCTTGGGATCTCTTCTTTATCCTCTCTATCCTCTCACTCAGTGATGTCATCAACTCCCATGGTTCAATTACCACCTCTATGTCGATGAATCCCAAATCTACATATCCCTCCTAAGAACTTCACCAACCATTTATTGGACATTTCCCAGTGGATGGCCTGTAGGCATTTCAAACTCAACATGTCTAAAGCTGAATTCACCATCTTTTCCCCCAAACCTAATCCCCTTCTGAACTTCCTTGCTAGTATTAAGGGTATCGCTATTCCTCGGGTCACCCAGAATCATTTCACTGTAATCTTCCATTTCTTACCCTCTCCCTCATGCCACACATCCAATCATCAAATCTTCTTGTTTCCAATTCTCCACCTCTCCCGTGTGACCCCTAATAACCACTCACAGAAGAACCAGCCTCGTTCAGGCCCTCCTTACATCTTGCCAAGATTATTGTAATAGCATTCTATTTGGTCTCCTTTCCCTACTCAGATCCATTCCCCCCATCCTCTGCCTCTGAAGTGATTTTCCTAAAGCATCAATCTGACCATATCACCCCCCACTCAATAACTCCAGTGGTTCCCGATTACTTTATGATGAAATATAAAGTACTCTACTAGTCATTCGAAGCCTTTCATAAGCTGGACCAGCTGACCTCGATAGCCCTTTCGAGCTCCAAATCTAGGGCCTTATTAACTTTAAATTAGTTAATTGCTCATTTTATATTTTGAGCTTCTGTGATTTCTGGAAATGTAGCCCAGATTCAGTGAAGCTTTAAAAATCACCTGACCAAAACTGACACACAGAGCTTTATGGATGCTTTACGACCAGATTGAGAATCCCAGGACGGGTTTACCTGGACCATAATAACTGAGTTTCAGGAACTTATGTATTTTTTGAGCGGCAACTATGGACTCAGCCCTGTGCCAAGCACTGTGGGGAACCCAGGAGAAATAGGATCCGTGAGTTCTGCCCCCTAGCAACTTGCCCTCCCATAAGATACCAGAAACAAGGGTAAATGATGCAAGACAGAATTTAGCTAAATTGTGTGCTATAGATTTATCAGTGCTATAAAAGCTAATGAAGGTTGGAGTGGTCAGTAAAGACTAATTTAGGTTACATGGCGGGGAAAATCTTCATAAGGAATTAAATTGTCTGGAAGTGAAATGGTCTGTTTTGGAAGCTACTGAGGTCCCCATCACTGGGGTGAAGCACCCCTTCACATCAAGTGATGATCGGATAACTCCCAGTTGGAGATTTTGAAGAAGGGATTACCCTACAGGTCAAGATTGGACTACAAGGCCTAACAGGTCCTTCTTAAGTCTCAAGTTCTGAGATTCTACATCTCAAGTTAAGGAGTCTAGGCTTGAAAGATCACGAGGTCTTAACCCCAGAGCTGAAGGGATCTCGAAGGCCACTTTGTCCATACCCTTCATTTTACAGGAGAGGAAACTGAGGCCCAAAGAAGTGAAGGGATTTGTCCAAGGTCAACACAGGTACTGAGTATCGCAGCAGGAATCTGTCCAAGGTCACAGAGGCAGTAATGGTGCCAGGATTGGGCCCCTCATTCTCTCATCCCAAACCCAAGGCTTTCCCCACCACATCAAACTGTATGAGCTGCTGCTACCGCAGCTTCCATTACAGAAAAAGCAGAGGGGAAGTCCTTGCCTACTTTTCAAGTGTGTTTTTATCAAGGATGTTGGGAGGCCTGGACTAAGGCTTGGGCCAGGGGGGCCCTCCTCATATCCTGTGACTACATTGAAAAAAACAACAAAGCCTGACCCTGACCTGGGCCTGAGTGTTGCCCTCAGATCAGACTGAATACGTGTCTCCCCCCACCTCCCCCCATAAGGAACTCAGTTTCTTCATCTGTAATATGAAGGGGTCTGGCTAGATGGTCTCTGAGGTCCCTTAATACTCTAAATAGGTGATGCTATGACCTTTGGCCTTGTTTAACTGTACCTGGATCTCCGGCAGTGGGGTCAAGAAGGCCCAGGACCAGGGAAAACTATTACACAACCTGGAAGGGCCCTGGCCCAAGAGCACTGACCTTCTCCTTCCCCCTGGCCCTGACTTCCTCAGTACCAGAGCCATAACTAGTACTTTTTAATCCATAAAACTTGCTTAGAACAAACGCACAAAAGGTGCCCTCAGTAGGGGGTGGTAAGAGGGGCCACTGGCAGGGAGGGAGCTGGCAGAAACTACTGTATGGGGAAGGATAAGACATCCTGGGATCTGTTGCTGGGGAGGCTGCCCACCTGCTAACCTCTCTCATTTTACAGGGGAGGAAACAGAGGCCCAGAGTTAGCAACGGAGAAAGGACTGTAACCTAGGGCTTCTGAGTTGGAGTCCAGCCTGGTATCAGCCACATTGTTGAAATTAGGCCTCTCTTAGGGGAACAGGGTCCTGGAGCATCTGGAGCAGAGGCCCTTGGTCTCATGAATGAAGATGAGCAGCTGGTGGGAGGAAGGGGGGGGATACCTAGGTCTCTTCAGGTTCATCCTCTCCTTAAACTCTCCCTCGACTGGGGTCCCATCAATAGGAAATTTCCAGAAGCCAAGGAGGAGGGCAAGAAAAGACCCTCAGGTTCCACATCCCTTCTCCGGCTTTGCCTTGCCTTAGGCTGCTCCCCCAGGTGTCCAACTACCCATGGCTTGGATTGTGGCAGAGAACTCGATAGGCTTTTGGCAATAATTCTCCCTCCTGGGGGCAGCCTGATCCCTGTTCACCAAAGGGCATTGAAATGCCCCCTTTCTTACCTCCCAGAGTGGTCCATGACACATTCAACTCCTTCATCCTGCTTGCTCCACTGTAGAAAAGTTTGAAAAGCCACAAAATCCAAAGCTTCAAGAAAAGGAAAATGTGCAGGGGACTGGAAAGCATAAGCAGATGCTATCTCCCTTCCCACCCGAAGAGAGACCCCTTTAGAGTATGGCTGTGCTTGGAGCCTGGACTGATGGGAAGGTTTGTGGAGGGGCACTGCCAGGCCAGTTTGGCCTCCCATGAGGAGCATCCCACCCTCCCAGCACAGCAGCTGGAGGGGATTAGGGTGACAAGTGCTCTAAGTAAGAGGGGAAGGAGGAAACAACAACTCCAGATGAAGAGACAGGAGAAATAACGGCTGTGGGTGAGGGGAAAGGGAATGAGGTCACCAGGTGAGAAGGGAGGGAGGAAATGAGTTCTAGACCAGAGGTGTGTGTGCGCGCAGGGGAATAACAGCTGTACCGCTGGGAGAAAGATAACAACTCTAGATTAGAGGGAGGGGAGTAACATCTCCAGGTGTAAGAGGAGAGAAGAAAGAATATCTCCAAGTGAGAAGGGATAGAGCAAAAGAGTTCCAAACTGAGCTGGGGGGGGGGCGGGGGGTGTGGTGGTGATAATAATAGCTCCAGAAGGGGGGTAAAATAACAGGTGAGAAGAGAGAGAAAATAGATCTGAGTGATAGGGAAAGTGTGAGAGAGAGACAGAGAGAGAGAGAGAGAGTGTGTGTGTGTGTGTGTGTGTGTGTGTGTGTGTCTGTGTGTGTGTGTGTCTCTGTGTGTGTGTGAAGATCCAGGTAAGCGAAGGTGAGGGGGAAGGGGGAGGTAACTCCAGGTGAGAGGTGGGGGTGGGTGGTAATGACGTCTCCAGGTGAGGAGGGTATCCATCAGCCTCAGGGGAGGGGCATGGGGGTGGTTGACGCTTTAGGTGAGAGGGGTGAGTAGCAACAGCTCCCACCGAGAGGAAAGAATGGAAACAACAGTTCTAGGTCAGGAGGGGTAGGTAACAGCTTCAGGTGAGGGAGGAGAGAAGGATGGATTAAGCCTGCAGAGGACGGGACGGGAAGGGCGGGGCACCACCCTTTTTTTTTAGGCTCCGCCCCCCCGGGCAGGGCTTGTGCATTCTGAGCTGACACGCACGCACGCAGCCCTCAGGCGGACGTACGTACGTACGCACGTACGCACGTACACACGCACTCGCTGGCGGGTTCCCTACGCCCATCTTTCTCCAGGCGCATGCGCGGGCGTACGTACGCGCAAGCGCAGTTCTCGGAGACGCTGCTGGGCGGGAGCCTTGGTGTCTCAGGCGGCCAATGGCTTTATCTGGAGCGGAGGCTGGTCGCGGGTCTCGGCTGAGGCTGACGCGGAAAAAGCCGCCCGCGCCCCGCTCCTCCTCTTGCTCCGGGCCTGGCGGCGGGGGGCAGGAGGGCAGGTGAGGCCCCGTCCGAGGAGGGAGGCGGGAGCCCTGTCAGCCGGGCCTTCGTCGTTACTTCTTCCTTCTCCCGTTCTCTCTTCCTGGGGCCGTCTTCACGCCTTCCCCCACCCCCCATTAGCTGGGCGTTCTTCTCTTCCTCCCCTCCCCCACGCGCTTGGGCCCAGCCGCCTGCATCGTCCGGCCTTCTTTGGCCCCCGGTGACCAGCCCCTCCCCAGGTCCCCGCACCCGGCTCGGGGTACCTTCGTACCCTGCAGGGCTGGAGCATTCATTAGCAGAGGAAGGAGACTGTGGGCGCAGACCCGCCCCACCGAAGGCACCTAGCCACGTGCCCCCGCCCCCTCGTTTTATGAAGAGGTCAAATGTCTCCCCGAAGGTCACTTGTAGCACCTTCACAGGCCTGTGAGGTTCAAATGAGTCAATATTTAAAATGCTTTTAAATCTTAATACACGTACACCCCCATGGCTCACCCCAGCCTTGTTGATCTGAGCTGTCATTCCTCCATGTGAAGATTAAATAGACTGGTCTAGACTTCCCCAAAATGGGCAAAGTAGGGGAAGGGAATAGTATAGTGTATAATACCTACAATATGTCAGGCACTGGACTAATTGTTGGGGATACAGCCCCTCTAGGATTTTACTTTATAATGGAGGAAACAATATAAACAACTAGGTCTGTGTAAGATCCATCCAGAGCATGTGGAAGAAGGGAAGGGCAAAAACATGTATATAGCACCTATGTGCCAGGCACTGTGCTAAGAGCCTTACAAATATCTCATTTGATTCTCAACAAGCCTATGAAGTATTATTATTATATATTAATATATATAACATAATATATAATTATAATGATAAGTATTGCTATTATCCCCATTTTACATTTGAGGAAGCTGAGGCAGACAGGTAAAGTGACTTGTCCAGAGTCACAGCTACCGTGGCTGGATTTGAATCCTGAGTCTAGGCCCCATGCTATGTGCCAAGCCACCAGAGCCTCACTGGTGGCAGGTAATGCTTCAGCCCAGAATTAGAATCCAGTCTGCGCATGTTTGTGAGGCAGGAGACTGATCCATGGTCTCTCTTCCTTCCCCTTTGCTCCCTTTGACAAATTTGGAGACAGAATATCTAAGTTGTGTCTTTGTCATGACATTTGTGATTTTGGGGAAGTGTGTTTCACCTTCCTTGGACTAGGTTTCTTCATCTGTAAAATGGACTACTTGGTCTCTAAGGTCCCTTCCTGTTCTGACTCTGTGATCCTATGACTTATTGGAGTAGCTAGGTACTGCAGTGGGCCTGAAGTCAGGAAGACTTGAGTTCAGATCTGGCCTTAGACACTAGCTGTGTGTCCCTGGGCAAGTCACTTGTTTGCCTCAGTTTCCTCATCTGTCAAATGAGCTGGAGAAGGAAATGGTAAACCAGTCCAGTATCTTTGCCGAGAAAACCCCAAATGGACGTGACTGAAAACAACTGAACAACAATGATTTTGTCTAACCCATAGAAGTCACCAGTCCTCCCTTTAAAAATGGGGATTCTGATGCCTTTGACTTTCTACCATAGGTGGTTGTTGAGGCATGGGAATCTTGAGCATGGTGATCCAGGGCGAGCAATAAGGTGGCAACAGTGGACAGAGAAACGCATGGCAGAGAAACTAGGCAAGCTCAGATCCAAGCCTTTGGAAGTATGAAGCCTCGTCTTCAAGGGGGAGAAGCCCTGAGCTTGGAGTCAAGAAACCAGGGAGTTGGTTCTTGGCTCTAACACGTTACTATCTTGGAGGCCTTGGGCAAGCAGCCTCTCTGGGCTTCGATTGCCTCATTTGTAAATTGGGGTAATAACTCCCCACTACTCAGGGTTGCTGTGAGGAAGGTATTCTGTAAATCTCATCTTCAGTGAATAGACTTTACCCTCTGCTCCTACTTTGCTTAGCCACCAAATTGTGGCCTGTCAAGGAGTCAGGCCTCCAGAAGCAGGGAGAGGGTTTAGGAGCTGGCTGTGGAAAGGCGATTTGAAGCCTTACGAGAAAGAGGTCAGTAAAGAGACGTACAGATGCTGAGGGCATAGGAATCCAGATCACCTCTAGCACTGCCTGATGAGGTCTGGCAGAAGATGCCTGATGCTCTAGTCCCTACTCTTCAGTTTTCTCCAACCCCACATTCCTGCTGTAGCCCAGCAATTTTTTTTTTTACAGTAAACACGCCAAGCTTGACCAGGGTGTAGAGCATTTTATTTTTACATCTCATTTCTGGTACTTAATCAGACTTCTGCAGCTTGGAGAGGTCATTGCTGAGATGAGGCCTCAGGTAAATGCAGTGCTTTTCCCACTCCATAACCTTTCCATAGGGTCATAGATGCAGAGCTGGAAGGCCCCCTCAGAGGTCATCCAGCTGGAATTCAGACTTAGGTCCTTAGACTCCCCGGGGACCACAGTTACCACCATTTCCCAGATCCTTCAACAGAGCGTTCCCTCTTTGGCATCCCTGCCCATGGTCCTTTGGTCATTGACTCAAACTCATCAGGCCAGTTTGTGGAAATGATCTTAATGACAAGTACAATGTCTCTCTCATTTTGTATTCACAGAACTTCAAACAACCGCTCTTGGTTGGACCAAGAAGGGTTAAATGAGTCTGATGAATTGTGGAAGCTGCTGGTATTGAGAAGTGTGAACTCCAGTCTGCATCAGGCCAGCCAGGAAATGCCAGATTTACCAGCATTCTTTGACCAGGTAGCCTATACCTCATGGTATTAATGGTCAGGATGTAGATTTTTATGACAGAGTCTATTAAAGTGGCACCAGTTGCCTTTTAAAATTAGATTTTTAAAGTGGGGAAACATGACCTTTTACAAATGTTGCTAAACTCCTGACAAATCCATTTCATCAAGATTATGTCGTGTACAGAACCGGGCTAGTACTCTGTTGAAGGGATGAGGATTCTGTTGACTTGGAAAGGATGAGTCCTTTACCACCAACAACAAAAAACTTTTCCACCTTCACCATCATTTTAAGCCATTTTTAAAAAAAAGCTTTTTATAAACTCCCTGCCCCCAACACAAAGCCTTCTGGTATGAAGACACTCCAGTTTCTAGGAGAATAAGGGGCAGTGTGTGTGTGTGGTTTTTTTTTTTTTCCCCTGTTGTTTATGGGGTTTTTTCCTGTTGTTTACATTTCTATTTCATGGTATCACTAAATTTTGAGAGCTGGAAAGAACCTCAGACGCTAGGCAGTCATTCAACCGCTAAGCATTAATTGCCTGCTCCTTGCCAGGTACTGGAGAGCAGGCGAGATGTAGCAGTCCCTGTGTTCAAGGAGTGTTAGCAGCCCCAGCCCACCAGGAGACTCCAGTAACAGGAAGCTTATTACTTGTATTGAGGTAGCCCATTTTACTTTTAGATGGCACTTATTTGGAGGAGCTTTTTCCCTGTCGGACTGAAGAGGCTTACTTCAGCAAGTCACCCGTTGATGGCTCCTGGGTCTCCCTTTCCAGCCAGGCCTTTCTGCTACAAGAAACCTTCTGGTCCGTTATATGCTCCCACCCGGCTACCTTCTCTGCAGGCTCAATACCCCAGGGCCCCACCGAAGGAATCCCCACCATAACCTATTTGGAGAGCCACCATTGGGCCTTGATGCCCTCCACCAGGGGGAGCCCCAGCTTCTCCAGGCAGCCCATCCCCCTTTGGGATACACAGGAAATTTCTCCTGACATCCAGTCTAAATTTGCCTCCTTGCAGCTTCTTCCCATTCCTTCCTTCCTACTTCTGGCCTCGGGGGCCAAATACGACAAGTCTCATCCCTCTTCCAAAGGGCAGCCTGACCATCTTGTCATGTCGCAGTGCTCACATGGTGTGGCTTCAAGGCCCTTCACTATCCTGGTAGCCCTCCTCTGGATACCACCTAGTACATTAATGTTCTTCAGCGATGACCCCCTAGAACTGGTCCCAGTGCTCCAGCTGTGGTGGGAGGAGGGCAGAGAACAGACAGACTTGACGACCTTGAGCCACTCTTTAACATGGGATCCCTTCTAGGAGTCAGGAGGTGATAATCCCTCTGTTTCTTCAAGAACTTGTCCTTACAGCTGAGTTGTCAAAAGGACAGTAGACTGGTAGGAGTCTTTGCCTCCTTTGGGCAGTGGATTGTGTGATTCAGGTTAATTATTAGAGGGACCTAAGTCCTTCTTAGGATGTACAGGACACAGAGAAGGTCCTATGATGTCTCATTTTCCTCATGATCAGGAGTTCCTCATGATGAGGACATTTTCCTCAGGATCATGGCAAACCTGGAGTTGGCACAGCAGCTTTCTCTTGGCAGTGCCCACACAAGACATGTGTACCCTATGAAGTCTTCAGCTGTCCTCCCTAGCAGTCCAGACTTATTGTGTGCAAAAGAAGCTTGAGGCATTTGGCCCAGCCTGTGGTTAAAAACTTTAGAAACTGGGGCATATTGTAGGGGAAAGATCCCTATGCTTGGAGGCAGAAGACTTGGGTGTGAATCCTGCCTCTGACATTTGGTATTTGTATGCCCTTGAGTTACTGTTCCTCAGTGGGCCTCAGTTTCCCCATCTGCCTAAGGAGAAGGTTGGACTATGATCCCTGACTTCCCTTCCAGTCCTGTAGTCTATGATTCTAGAAATATTGCTTTTTACATGATGCTTTTTAAGGAAAAAAAAAAAAGAGTTTAGCCATTCTAGTTTGATCTAAAACAGAGGGAAAAGTGCTGGCTTAGTAGCATTTGATCTGGGTTCAAATCCTGCCTCTGCCACTTGTCACTTGTGGTGCCCTGGGATGCATCACTTGCTCTCTCTGGGTCTCAGTTTTCATATCTACAAAATGAGAGGGTTGGACTACATGGCCTGAGTTGCTTTCTAATTGTAGAACTATCATAAAAAGTAAAACCCTCTTTTTACAGAGCGCCAGGCATAATGAGAACTCACAGCAACCAGCCCTCTTTAAAGTTGGGACAGAAGAGTTTCAGTGGACACCTTTCCCACCTGCCTTCGCATTTGCTGGTCAGTTAAAAAACCCAGACTCTTCTCATTTCACAAAGGAGAAACCTACTCAGATACTCTATGAACAAGAGCAGAGAGTGGATCAGAGCGGCGGGCCTTCCTGCCAGGGGGCCTCTGCTCTGGGCCGTGAGAACCTGGAACCGAGGCCTGACGGTGGAGCCGGGGTGAAAAGGCCTTCGGAGTGGAGAGACAGTAGCATCGGGGCTTCGAAGAGCGGGCTTCCACAACACGCACCACTCTCCCAGCTCAGGAAAAAACAGAGACTGTGGGTGGAGGGTGATACCTCCTCCCCAGCATCTCCCCAGACCCTCACCTTGGAGGTGAGCCATCCAGGGCGCTCTCCTTTGAAGAAACCCAGTCGCAGCCTTTGCTCAGAAGGTGCCAGAGTAGAAAAAGATGCCACCTCTGCTGCCGTGAGCCAGGGAATAGTGGTACTTGATGGCTGTCCGATGTGCCAGGTCCCATTTACTGGAAAGTAAGTCCTCAGTCTTTTTCCTTCTTGGGGAAGCCCTTAGGGAGGTACCCAGCAGAGCCAACTTGGAACCTGTGGGCGTGGGGTGGAGGGGTATCCCGGGGAAGGCATCTCTAACAGACCCAAGGGCAGTGGCATTCTCCAGGCAGGTGTTGTTACTGGGACAGCAGTTTAGAAAACCCAGGGAGCACGAGGGGCCGCAGCCATTTTTACTGTGTAGAAGTCGTCGAAACGTGGCGCCACCATGGCTTAGCCATGGCCTTGTAAAGTCATTTTATATAAGGAGCGCCTGCAAAATTAATTGACGATGCTGACTTCCACCCAGTTGGGAAAGCTAACGTCTCTTTCCTGGCTATTCTTGGCTTCCGAGTGCACGTGGAGCGGCTGGCCATCTGCGACAGCCTGGGCCGGGATCAGCACGGAGGACCGGTCACCCGCTGCTACAGTCCGGGCACCCCTGGGCAGGAGCACAGTTGCGACTTTATGGCCACACAGAAACACTACAGAATTCGTTGGGACAGGAAATATCATCTTCTCGTTCTATAACATTGAATATTTCACTTAGCTTCCATGATTGATTTAATGGGAGTTGGGTTAAGCACAGAAATCCCCAACCATAAAGATGAGCATCTAGCTCTGAGTGAGGATTGTGTTTTAAACGAGCATTTCCATGTTTAAATAACCCCATAGATATTTGCCCTAATGTGTTCCGGGTGTTGTTTGGGAGGTTTGAAAAATTGAAAATACTCTGTCATTATTGCCAGAGTTGAAACTCAAGTTTTTCTTAAAGTTTTCAATTTGGTGTCTTTTCTTTGTGGGATTGAGCCCTTTCCTGCTAACGTTCTCCCGAGAGTTGCCACCTCCCCAAGAGTCCCACTTCCTTAGGTCTTTGCTTTGTTTGCCAGTCCGAGATGCTCACCCTGCCAGCTTGACAACATACCTCCTAGGCCCAGGCATTTTTGGTCTTTGTTTATAGTCACATTTGGAGGATAAAGAATGGGAGAACCTGGGGAGGATTCTCCTGAACAGCTTGGCTGGAGCTGCCGGTGGATGGGATCCACAGTAAGGCTGTCGCCTTGCTCCAGACATGATTCCAAGCCTTGAGTAGAAGGACATGGGCAGCAGGTGGTGCAGTGGTTAGAGTGCCAGGCCTGGGGTCATCAAGACCTGAGCTTAAATCTGCCCTCAGACACTTACTAGCTGTGTGACCCTGGGCAGGTCATTTCACCTCTGTTTGCCTGTTTCCTCAGTTATAATAATTACAGCAACCAACACCAGGGTTGTTGCGAGGATCAAATAAGATAATTGTAAAGTGTCTGGCACACAGTACCAGGCACATAGTAGGTGCTACGTAAATGTTAGCTGTCATTCTCATTTTAGAATTGTGTACCTTTGGAGTTAAATACAAAAGAGACTGAAGATAGATCGAGTACGAACAGTGTGTCTCAACGCTCTTTGATAGGAGGCTTTTAATCGGTTTTTAATGCATTAAACAGGGATAGAAAGTTTCCTGTTTTACATGGTGTTTAAATATTCTAATGCTGGAATGGAGTGTTCCACTCGTTTGGATACAATGAGCTCCATTCATAGAGCAGGGGCAGGACCAACATTTACCTTGTAGACAATTAGAATCATGTTTGGGGGCATGGGATGTAGGGCTGCATTGTATCTGAACCCATGGAGCATGACCACAGCTGAGGCTCAGTAGGGCAGGAAGAGGCATTCTAGGAGAGCCTGGAGAGCACAGCATCTAGATGGCTTACCATGGGGTCCAGCCTGGCTAGGGTGGTGATGACAGAACACGGTTTAGCTAGTTGAGTTCTCAATTAGTGAATGTCAGGAGAATTCTCAAGAAATTCAGGGAATAGAGAAAGGCTGTTGGAATTCCTTAAGAAGACCCATCTTTTTGAAGGAGAGAGACCCTGGGGTCAGATGTCTGATTAGTCCAGTTTATCCTTCCAAATAACTTCATCAGTTTGGCAAGGGATTGTGGGGGAAATAGCTATCAGATAGTCATTTTATTTCAGGGGTTAGGGAACCAGCCTGGCTGAGCTTGGAGAGAGGAGCTTGTTGCCAAATGGGAGGTGATGAAGTCTTGTTGGCGATAGCAGCTCATGACCCGTCTGCTGAGGCATCCTGCAGCAGTGAGCTTCCATGCTAGTAAATGGAACACCCGTGGGGGTGAAGTCAGGGAACCGGGAGGCTTAGGAGAGGGCCCTAGTGAAGGAGTAGAGGTCAGTACACTATCCTAGCTGCCTTATTTCTGGGGAGCTCAGGACTGCACTGTGATTTCACTGATAGAGGGAACTCCTAGGTTAGCAGAAGTCCTCTACTAGTGCAGGTTGGCCCTTTCTCTGAAGTTTCAGAGAGTTGTCTGGACCCTGAGAAGTTAAATGACTTGGTTGGGGGCGTATAGCCAGTGTAGGTCAGAGGCCAGACTTAAACCCAGGTCCTTTTGCCTTCAAGGCCTGCTCTAGCCCCAGTGTGGTCAAACTCATGCCTGCTGTGTACTGACTGAGAACACCACAAATTAACACTATCTATGTTGTATTGTGTTTTTATTTATTTTGTTAAACATTTCTCACTTAAATTTTAATCTGTTTTGGACTACCCAGCACTTTTCCTAGCCAGCCACAGGTTTGACCTCTGCTTTATACAGTGTTGCCTCTCAGAATAACATTTATATTACCCTTTAAGGTTTGCAAGGGCTGTACATATATCATCTCCTTTTATCCTCATAACTTTGGGAGAGGTGCTATTCTTACCTCCTTTTTACGGATGAGGAAAACGAGTCAGATAGTCACTGAGTGACGTTACCAGGGGCACACAACTACTAAGTTTCTTTCAACATTTTTGTAAGATTTTGAGTTCCAGATCTTTCTCTCCCCCCCAAGACAGCAAGCAATCTTATATAGGTTATATATGTACGATCACATTAAACATATTTCCACACAACTACTAAGTTTCTGAAGCAGCATTTGCGATTCGTTTTAAAAGCAGCATTAAAAATAGGCCCTTGGAAGAGGAGGAGACAGAGACAAGCAATAGCTTTCTGGTTTTACAGTAGTTGCTGAAATGACTTGCTGAAGACCTGGATTTGGGGGAGAAAGTAGGTGTTGATCAAGTTGTTTGTTTTGCCATTGAACTACATATATTCTGTGCTCATGATTTTGTCATTATAAATGATGGTGTGTATAAGCTCATGGTAAGTATAACTAAATGCTGTAGTCAATATGAGGGATTCAGATTTGAAAACATACACTTTGTTTTTTTCTCTCTGGAAAGAAAGTGCACCCGGGTCCACCCCTGTTAACTGTGTGGTTCTCTGTGGCCCAGACAGGAGGCCTATTGTGCATCCTAAGTGATGAGTCGGCCTTTGGAGGCCAAAGAAGGATTGCTGAGCTTGGGTTGTGTGTTTTGGCAAAATCAGCTATGCCTGCCATGAGCACCAATGTTAACAGATGTTACACAGTGACTGTCTTGTCTCATAACTATTGCTGGGAAAGCATTTTTTTTTTTATAATTAGCATGTTCCATTCATAGAAAAAATTGTTAACCTACCATCTTTAGGTCTTATTGAACGGTAGCCGTTCCCTTAGTTGGCCAACAGCCCCCCAGTGACACCCACGTTATTGCGGAGCTGATCTTATGCTCAGCCCACTTGATTCATTCTGGTGAATCCATCAAGGGAAATGGGGGCAGGAGAGGAGATTGTACAAGAATTCTGCTCTATGTAAAATTTAAAAAGTGTGCCTTGAGGGTAGGCTCACTTCTGTAATTGCTAACCTTTATAGGATCCTCGGAGATTTGCTTCCCTACCACTGGAAGGAAAAGCTGCCAGGGCTGTTCGATTTTATCAGTCATTGGGGGAAGACTGAATGCGGGGTAGAAATACCTGAGTTTTCCTTGCAGCTCAATAGTGCTTTTGTAGGTGAATGACTTTTCCAAGAAAACAGCGAGATCTTATTTTTTTTAATAGAAGCTTGTAAATAGCATCATGTAGTAATTTGTTCTTTAAGGGCAAATGGGGAATTTTAAAAATACGGTGACAGAGGGAGATGGCACCATTTTTTCCCAGAGCATCAAAATGTTCTGGGTTGACATTAAGGGACAATCTCCTCCCCCCCACCCCCCAATCCCTTTTTGAATGGCTTGAGTGGATATCATCAGTGACGTTTCCCAAAATTAAAGATTCATTTGGATAGAAAATATTTTTACTAAAGTCATTCATATCTCTTTAAGGCTCTCTCGCTTTCCGCTTTATAGAAGAGCCATTCATTTGAACCCTGGCTTCTGAGGTGCTTGGTGCTCACTGGCTGCTGGGCTTAGGCGAGCTCGATGGGGGAGGTGGAGCTGGAGAAGTCAGAAGGTCAAGGTCTTGGGGTTGAAAGAGCAAGGGCTTTTAGTACAGGAGCCTTGCAGACCCCTTACAATTTTTCAAGTGTCTATTGGAGCAGTTCAGTGTTTCATTTCCATTGCCACAAGCTTGTTGGAGTCATTTAAGCAGCATTTAGCAGGTGCAGTTGAGGTACAAAGGAGGGACCTGAAAGATCAGATTTTCCTTTATTTATAGACAGTGGTGGGTAATGATGGCAAATGCTTGTCAGCACTTGAGACTGTAGCAGCAGCAGTGAGGAGGTGAGCAGTGTTGGGTAGTAGTCTGGGATGCTGGCAGTCTGGGGGAATTTAAGGACAGCAGGAGGCAGAGGCGGGAGGTACTTCATTACGCTGTTAATCATGTTTCTGTTAGGACCCAAATGCAGGAATCTGCCTCTTTGCAGCCAGCTAGGAGCCACTGCAGGTAGTGCCGATGAGGCCCACAGGAGCCTGCCAGCTCTGGGCGTGTTGCTTGTTAGCACTTCTTATTTCTCTTCTTTGAAGGGGAACTCACACACCTGGCTATTTGTGAACAGGAACACATGACTACACGTGGTTGTCACATGCTGTACCTAAAAGCCTGTGATCGTGTTAACCTGCAGGAGGGACCTAGAACGTGGCCAGTTTTCCAAAGCTCTTCTAGCTGGAAACATTCATGCAGGAATACAGGCAGCCTTTTCATGCTTTGGGAGGGAGACGCATAAAACTCGGTTTATTTAGCAACATTCTTGAGAAGTGACCAGATTTGGAAAAGATGATGTGTCATTTGTGCTTCATGAAACACTTCATTGACATGTTTTAAGACTCAAGGGTGAGAAAATCTAGAGCCTTAGACTTTTTCCTGTGGAGACAGGACAGCGCTCTAGTGTTACCATGAGGTGGTTTGAATCTTTATTTAACAGGACTCTCAGTTGACTCTCACTGATCTAAGGCCCTGACAAGCTACCAGGAACACTTCCTACCAGGGAAGGCTGGATGGTCTTAGTATGTCCCATCTTTTATGAAGCTTCTCCCCAAATTGCCTACGGAGCAGATATTTACTCTTGGCTGCCCAGATTGCACGCTCACTAACTCTTGTCTTTTCTCCTCCTCTGCAGGTTCTCCCAGCTGGATATTGATAGTCATCTTGCTAAATGCTTGTCAGAGAGTATTGAAGATGTGATATGGTAAACTTAGTAGGAAGAACCCACAAATATGACCTCCCCTACAGCAGAGTAGGGGATCACAAGAAATGGCCCCAGGCACCCCTGGCCCTGTGTGTAAACATCCCCTCCCCGACTCTGGATGCTCTGAAGAGCCCTTCCCAAGGCACGCTTCCCCGAGTCATCACTGGGATGTCCTGGGAGGCAGTGTCCTGGCTGGGATGACTTCTTGACTCTGCCTTTTAAAAGTAGACAATAAAAATTCCATTTTGAATATTGAATGGCTATTTTAATTTCCATCATACTTCAGACCTCTTTAAATGAGGTGCCATGCAGAGTTTTCCTTCTTGACAAAGATTTATAGGTAAAGTAAGAGTCTGCCCTAGTCACAGTAACAGTCACTGAAGGATGTGGTCCATTACTGTGGTCCAGACAAGTAAATGAGCTGCAGCAGGGTGTGGCCATGTGGACTCTGGTTGCACTAAGAAAATCCAGGCTTCCAAACTCCCCAACTGTGGGTGGGGCTGGCCAAGTCCCTGTGGATGCCCCGAGCCCACCCTTCAGAGCTCGATGATGGGCCTGCCTTGCCCGGGACTTAGGGGGATTGGGAGGCTGGGCTGTCCCGAAGAGCTGTATAAATTCGAAAAACCTTCCACCAAACTGGGGTTTGGTAACTGAGTCTCAGCTCTTTGTATGATCCAGAGTTAGCCCAGAACGTGATGACCCCTTGGGATTCTGTTATAGTCTTTTCTTCTAGTCCAAGTCTGGGGAAGAGATACCAAAGAGCCTTCATTTTTAACCTCACCTGATCTTTTTCCCTACAAAATGTGTAGAATGCCTTTATTTTATATTTTTAGCATAGAGCAAGTATTAGAATATTTAATCTTTTCCTCTTCCTTTTCTCCTGACGCTGCTAAATCAGGTGTATCAAGTCCTAACCCCAAGGAAAGTTAGCTGGGAATCGGGAACAGGGAAAAGGAAAAAAAAAAAAAGGTAAACTACAGAAAACTTAGATATAGATAGAAGTTATTACTAGCTATTTATATCTTTCATTTTAAAATGATTTTTTTAAAAATGTGCCCTTTTTGGAAATAACTGGTTTTAAGGAAAATAATAACAATCTATTAGGCTTTTTCATTAAAGTCTTTAATAGGTGTGCAAGAATAGAAATGATCTCAGCTGTTATGGGTTAGCGTACCATCTTCTGCACAAGGAAAACGGGCCAGCAAAGATCGGAACTAAGTAATTATACAAAACTACAAGAACATATTTACTGCTTTACAATCATTAAATTAGCTAGAGTTTTCATTTACTATTTCAGATATGACAACTATAGACCATCTCATTACCGGATCCATTTGTAATATATTAGGACTTTTTTTTTCTCAAACCACACATTTAATTACATCCTTCAGTTTCTTCAATATATAAAACAAGTACTTTATATAAAAATTTCTCCATCATAAACAAGAATGTTATTTATACACTTGCACGTGAGCAACCAAACTCATAACTGGCAAACTATTTGGCAACACAGCAATATTGTAAATGCCTTCGACTGTAATAAACCCAGGGCACCGGTGCTGTCACTGGAGCCAGCAGGTCTTTTTTTTCCACCCACAGCAGCGAAATGAATTGGATGCCACTAGCAGTTTATGAGTGGAGCAAACACACACAAACAAGTCCCTTGCCTGGAGACACACACCAATGGGAGGATCCCTCCTGATCAGGGTCACCCTGTTCACAGTCACACCGTGGCATAACTAAAATGTGTGCAGCTGGAAAATGGAGGGATCTGATGAAAGTCACAACCAGGTGGGAGAGTGGGGAACGAGCCAGTCGGGAATGGCCTCTGGCCTGTGTCCTGCATTCCCTTCATTTCTAGGCTTTTGAGGCAAGTACGTTTCTCTGGAAAGTGATGGGCGCTGGTTCGAGCACAGCTTCCGGGCCACCATGGAGACCCCGAGCTCAGACGGGGTCACTGCCCCTAAGAGTTGTGGGGGCTACAAATGGGGCCTGTTTACCAATGGTCAGTTGGGGATTTGAGAGAATATTTTGGCAGTCTCATCCTAGCACCTCATGACTTGGATGTGAATCTGAGAGATGTCATGTTCAGCACCGAGTGCGATGCTATACCCTGAGAAACCTATATGTTAATGCAAAGAGAGTGGAGGAGGGTTCAGGTGGAGTTTGCATCTTGCACCTGCTTAGGTGTCTGTCTTTGTGCTTCCTGCACTATTCCCCTTCCCCCCTCCCAGATCCAAGCCACACAATTCATGGAACCAAGAGCTAGCACAGAGACCTGTGCAGCCAGGCTACAGTTACCTGCGGCAGTGGCAGGTGGGTCTTTACAAGCCTTTGAAACATTTTTTTATGGCAGTGGACAGTTGGTCCTTAAACGAAGTGACCTGACTGTTCCACAGCTGGACAAGAAAGCATCCTGTTAACCTCTTGTGAAACTAACACCGATGACCCAACCTGACCCCTCCCCCCAACGCACACTTTTGTTTTCACTGTTTCCAAAGGAGAAGGGATTTAATGGACAGTTTTCAAATTGTCATGTTTTTCCAAGTGGTTCCCACTCCCGTTTGCCATCTTGACGTATGTAAAACCTACAGTTGAGCTTCATCAAGCAATCCTTTCTTGTAAGCAGAATGGTTATTTAGTAATATACAAATTTTCAAAGCAAAGAGATTATTAGAAGTAGGAGGTGTGCTTTATCAGGAAAATGGGTTATGTTTATGGATACTCTAGATTTATTATTTAAACTTTTAAGGCTAGCTCCATTATACTTTTTTTTCCCTATTTTCTAATTCGGAATATCATATTACTGATAAAAATATTTTTCAAAAATCTAATACATAACACAAGACATGTAGGCACTGCTTAAGGATTTTTCAGAAATCTATTTTGTGCAAATTTCGTTTTTTAAATATAAATATTTTTTGGTCTAATGGTGCTTTGGCAAGCATCATTTTAAACATCTACCTCATCCAATTTTATCCATCAATAGAATGATAATGTTTTACTAATTGAGATTCGCATTTTGCTCCTTCATAGCTCAAAGGACATTTCTAAAATAAAGGTGTGTTTTCAGCAATAGACACTCCAGCTGTTAATTACATGCTCTGTATGAAAATACCTGTTAAATATTAACAAGAAGAACTTACCAGGATTTAGAAAAGGCTCCGAATTTGTAAAAATTCTTCGTTGCAGTTTATCCATTTAGGCACTTAAACTTATGTACCCAAACTTATGTTTTGATTGCTAATAAAACACAACTCCTCTTTTATTTAGATAGTGTATCTGAGATGTTTAGACAGGTGCCACTTGTGGGAAAAAAGGCATCGGAAATGAGGTTCAACACCACTGTAACATTTTATTCTTCAGGATATTACACTTTAATTTTCTTGAATTTGTCGGCCATTGCATCAAGTTTTGTTTTGTAGAAAGTGTGCACCTTCAAAGTCGTTGGAACATTCCTTTCCCGAGGATGTAACGAACATGAGATTCTTCCACGAAGCAGGCACGTGTGCACATTCCCTCAGAAAAGAAGCCAGTCGCGTCAGTGCCCCAGACTCAAAAACCAGGATCACTTAGAGGAAGACACCCACCAAAATCTATTCTCTTCTTTGATTTTCAGCAGCAATTTTTAAAAAAATCATTGGTCTCCACTCAAAACCTTACAGTTCCCCAGCCTTGCATGCATATACTGTAGTTAGGGATAAATGTAAAAGTTCATTCACATTATTTGTCCACAATGGAGATGCCATTTCTTCATACTGACTCTTCTGTAGAAAGTAACAAGGGATTGATGTATTCAAATCCTTCAAATTCTGACTGGTCTATTCTTTTTACTACATCCCTTTAAGAAAAAACAAAAAAGACACAATTATTGCCTTGTGTTTTAATCCCTACTGGTAATGCCTCGCTCACAGACGTTACTGAACGTACTTCGTTTCAGAAGGCTGAGAACACAAAATATTCATTGTATCAAATTAGGTGACATAAGCATAGTCCTCGAACAGGAAGGCACTTGAGAGACCCCCTAATTCTAGCCCTTTTTCACAGAGGAAGGAAGAATCCATGGCGAGACAGGGAAGTGCTTTGCCGAGGGCCATACGACACTTGAGAGGCAGGAAAAGCTCTACAACCCAGGCCCCTTCCCCTCTAGTTTGCTGACACACGAGGAACCCAAGAGCCAGAGACTGCCTGAGAAAGCTCTGAATGACTCGGAAAAAGTAAGCTCTCCTCCATGAGGGACCCTACAACAGAAGCCTTTCTTCATCCCCGTACAGCAGGGCTCTCACAGAACCGCCATGAATAATGATGAGAGGCCCACCACATCCTCTGGTAACTCCAGCCCATTATCAGCCACTGGCAGATCACTATGGTGGCCACTCAGGGCAGCGGAGGGGCCAGTGAGTGGGCTGGCCTGGGGAGTTAGGGGCTGAAGCCCTGCTGGGTGATAGAAATGTGAACGTGGCACATAGTAAGCACTTAATAAATTCCTCGGCCTCCTCGTGACTCCATTCAGGAAAGCCCTGGATTTACAAGAGCACTTACTCGTCATCTGGGGTTAGCTGCACAGGTTCGCTGGTGAACTGTGTATCAAAGTTATCCAGACCATAATCATCGGTTATCTGAGGCTGAAATGGAGGGAGGGCTTGCTTCTTCTCCAGCTTTGAAAAAGAACACAACAAAGATCAAATGGTGTCGTATTTGTAACATCAGTGTACGAGATGCACCTTCCATATACCACTCACTCAGAGAGGGAAGATCATGGCCAGGGAGGGACCCCAAAGACTCCCTAGCCCAGAGGGTTTGAGAAACCTTGGGTCTCCTAGACCCTTGGGCAGTTGGGGGAAGCCAGGGACAGACTCTTTTTGAGAATTAGGTTTTTAAATGCATAAAATATATGTAAGATTACAAAAGAAACCAACTTTCTGGAAAGTTATAAAAACACAAAGGGAAAACATATTCCCAGACTCTAGGTTAAAAACGGCTGATCTAGTCCAACTACCTTGCTTTGTAGAAAAAGACTCTGAGGGCCATAGAAGACCAGCCTTTCCTAAGGACAGGGCAAAAGCCAAATTTTGAAAACAAAATAAATAAATAAATAAATAAATAAAAAAAAATGGCTTTCATGCCAAAGGTTCATTCAACTGACAAGTCTTTATTGTTAAGGGCAATTTGGATCCAGGTCTTTGGGTGTCAGGTGGCCACAACTCTATGCTGAGAGCCCAGATGAGATAGAATCCCTGGTTCTGTGTCATCAGTGTTGCTGCAGGATTGCAGAACCTCAGCTGTGCTTGAACCTAAGACCTTGGAATCTCATATCCTAAGGAAACACTTTCGGTTAATTAGAGCTGACCCCAAGGGCAGTGGGCTCTCCCTCCTCCAGCCACTCCCCCCAAGGGACATCTCGGGGGGAGGGGGGTCTCTCATCCAATGCTGAGGTCATACAACCTTGGGATTCTATCTTTTCTGGGCTCTCAGCATAGACTTGTGGCCATCTGATGTCCAGTGATGCTCTCCAAGGGCCCTTCCAACTGACCACCCAGGTTTCTTAAATCAATACTGGCAGCTTGTCTCTGATGTTAATTACAGTTTAATTTGGATGACAACCAAGTGTTACCATCTTTAAGTCTTAAAAAAAAAAAAAGTATCCATCACTCCTCAAAATGGGAATACTGGCTAAAGTGAGGACCCAGTCCCTCCACACTCCACCAAGTCTAAGTCGGGAATCTGGCCTCAGACCCCTTTAGCATCATGGTAAAAGGCTGTCTCTTCTTTGTAAGTTGCCCTGGTGGAGAGCACATCAGGGATACAAGACAGGAGTTGTAAATAGCTTTCTTTCCTGCCCACTTACACATCTCTCCCAAGATCCCTGCAGCTCTGGAGGAAATGCTATTTTCAGCCCCGTTGCTAGGCAGAAACACTCAGCACTTCTTCTCTTTGGAAAAAGTGCTGCAGAGGGGAAAGATCACTGGGTGGGGAGTCTGAGGACTTGCGTTCAAATCTTGATGCTGACCTATGTATTACTTGAGTGACTCTGAGGAAGTCAGTTAACTTCCCTGGGCTTCAGTTTCCCCATCTGTCAATCAACCAAAGCATTTATGAGCCACTTGGTATGCGTCAGGCACTGTGCCGAGATGAGAGCTGGAGATACAGAAACAAGCCCATGCCCTCAGGGAGTTTACATTCTAACTGGCTTGGACTGCATAGATTCTGCAGTCCATTGTACCATCAAATGTAAGATCTAGGTTCTCCAGAAAGAGCCACAGGCTCATAAACTCCCAGATCTAGGCCTGGAAGGGATCATGGAGGCCACATAAATGACACATTCCATAGATGAGCAAACAGTGAGTGAATGAACCAAAAAACATGCTTGGCGCTGTACAAAGAGCAACATCTCCTGCCCCAAGAAGCTAACATTGTAACACAGTGTGGTGCCGTGGTGCCCAGGGAAGAGTACTTGGGCACGGGAAGTTACAGGGATGGTGAGTGTGCCCAAGGTAATGGAGCCATCAAAGGGTAACTGAACTCTGAATCCTCTCCCCATAACCGGATTCCCCCATCCCTCTGGGGCACCCTGGCACATTTATCTCCTGAACAAAGCCCCAACGTAAGAGGAGTTCATGCTGCTCCAGAGATGCACCTTAGGGGCAGACCCCACCATTGGGAGCTAGTGCTGTAAGATCAGGAGATTGACTTTAGTACTATGAGCGTGCCAAAATGTTGGGGGTATTTTCCCCCTCCTTTGATGTTGGAGCGCTACCTCCCACCCCCTTCAGGCCCAATTCTCCATAATTTGGAAACTGCAATGGTCTCTAGGGTTCTTTCTGAGTCACACGCAGCTCGCTGTAAACATCACCCAAGCTTTTGGATTTTGGCATGGACTCTTCAGGGTCAGCAGGAGTCTAAGAGGATCCGATTGCAATGCATGTCCTGGCATTTCTTGTCCTTTATGTGAACTGTCATTCGATCCCTCTGGAGATTTCGGGGCAGAATCTGACCTGACGTAGTTCCTCTGATATGATGATCTGGACGGAGCTGCAGAGAGCCCGGCACATGTGCGCCGAACATGAAACTCTTGTTTCATGGGCATTCTCCCCAAGACCGGGGCCGTGATAGCCACATAAAAGGAAATAGCTGACGTGTATATAATGCTTGCAAAGTGCTTTACAAACGTCACCTTATTCACCTTATCCTCAGAGTCCTGGGAAGGAGGTGCTATTTGTATTGTCACCCCCATTTTGCATAAAAGGAGACTGAGGCAGACAGCGAGGAAGTGACTTGCCTCGGGTCACACAGCATCAGAGGCTGGATTTGAGTTTGTGCTCTCCCCACATGTCTGTGAATGGAAAACTGAGCCTCTAGCCACAAGCCATTTAGTTTTGGAATCAAATCCAGTTTATGGCAAAGTTAACCTGACACTTCCTTGTGATGAATAAGCCACCAAAGTACCAAGCTTTGGGGAATGTGATTAGCATCGCCTGCCCGAAGATACCCCAGAACGCCCAGGGTCTAAGAGGGAAAGAACAGCGCAAGATGCCATTCCAAGGCCCACCCCCCGAGCACCCCAAACACAGGGACGCACACCCCAGCGGACTCAGGCAGCCGGCCCTTTTGTTTCTGTGGTGAGGAGCATCCATGACCAAGTCACCGCAGACTCCCCCATTTCTTAGGCAGCCTCCTGTAGGTGAGTAAACTGTGAACTGGCCTCATAGAAAAACCTACAGAAACCTAGGGCTGCCCCCATTGCCAGGAAGACTGAGGCTAGTGAATCTCTTGAGCATCGATGGGAATGGCTTCGCTAAGTAAAACTTAAGAGTCCAGCTAACTAGAGAACGTCTGACAAGCAGCACAGACCTAAGTCCGCAGGAAGCCAGGTAAGGCTGGAAGGGTCAGGCTGCCGTAGGTAGATACAGGTCAGGAAGGTCAGGATGTCAGCCAGAGCAGACTCAGCAGAAAGGGTTAACTTTAGATGGAGGAACAGAGACTGCTTCCTGCCTCCTGAGCGAGGGTGGCCTTGTACCCACAGGGGCTGCTTTTGGCCAGAAAGAGAAGAGTGGACAGCCGGAAGGCCCTACTTCACATCCAGGAAGGAGGAGATATGCCATCCATGATGATCCCACCATCCTCACCCCAGCACAGAGACAGAGGCACTGAAAACAATTGTGTCACGTACCAAGGCTTGCACAATGCTTTCCTCAAAATCACCCAAAGATGAGCCTGAGTATTGTTATTCTCATTTTACAGTTGAAGAAACTGAGGCACAGAGACTTGGAGGGTGGGGTAGGGCAGGGTTTACACAGCTAGTAAGTATCCACAACGAGATTTGAACTCCTGACTCCAAGTCCTTGGCTCTTTCCACTACAAAATGCTGCCCTCTAGTGTAGAGAGTAGCACACAAACCCTGGGTAAGAGGCAGGGGAGGAGGTGCAGGAGAGAAATGAAATCTCTCACTTGCCATCTTTTCACCTACATTCTCTCTAAGCACACAACAAGACTACAGCTAATTAGGTATCAAGCTTCCGTTCACGTTCTAAGTACTACGTGAACGGCCTTCTCAGGCACGCACATCTGGATGAAATTAATCACAGCATATTTGCAATTACACCCATTTCTGTAAAAAATGTTATTTGGTGGTGACTTAGTAAAGCATCAGCCATCTGCCTTTCTGTAGTTTAACAAAATTCCTTTGTCTGTTAAGGTACGGCACATGAGGATTAAGGGGAGGAGAGGAAATCTAGAGTTGAAAGGGACCCCAGAGGCCAACTACCAAAGAGTCGCCCTAAAAAGCTATCAGATGGTAGATTTAGAGTCAGAGGGAATCCTGGGGTTCACTAAGTCCAACACGTTCCTTTTACAGAGGAGGAAACTGAGGCCCCGAGAGGGGAAGTAACATGGTCAAGATCACACAGGTGATGAGTGGCAGAGGCAGGAACTTGAATCCAGGTTCTCTGGATCTAAATACAACGTTCTTCCTACTGCACCAGGTGTGTTGCTCCCTAACCTCCGTGAAAGCTGTGTAATTCTTGGTGTGTAGGTGCCCCCAGGTTCTGGAAGGCTCTGTCTACATAGCACAAGCTCTGGTAGGTCCACGAAGCCAAAAACCAACCTATTCATCAATAAGTATTAAGCACCATGAGCATCCATGGTAGGCTGGCAGTACGTGTACAAAGAAACAATCTCTACAGGCAAGAAGTGCACAAGCAACATTTGGGCAATGTCTTAAAATGGCTAGAGTGAGAACCCAAGTTCACATACCACCTCTGTTACTAGCTGTGATTAGGAGGGTTAAATCACTTTCTCATAGAACTTCAGAGCTGCAAGGTACGTTGGGTTTTCTGGAAGACTCAGCTCAAATGCCACCTTCTTGTAGAAGGCCTTCCCTGGTCCTCTTAGCTGCCAGTGGGTTTCCCTCAAAGGCTACCTTCCATCTACTCCATGTATCTTGTATGGGTCAATTTACATACATGGTATCATTCGGATTAGAATGTAAGTGCCCTGAGGGCAGGCACTATGTTTTCTTTTTCTCTGTATCCACAACCTTTGGGCACAGTGCCTGGCCCAGAGTAAGCACTTAATAAGTGCCCTGCTCCTCGGTGGGGCTGAGTTCAGGAGTTGTGAACTGCAGTAAAGCTCAGATCGCTAATATGACGAGCCCTGCTAG